TAACTCGATATGAGTTGTCCCCCTTTCATTCTCTTAATCGTGTTTTCAAATTGATTTTGTGCAAAAACAATTGTTTTTTTCACTTTTTGGCGCTGTCAGAACAACCGCAAGATAATTTTACGTAGTCCTTATGTTTAATAGTGAAACACTGGGACCTAATTGCCAATCTAGTAGTACGCTTCAATTCATGCGGTCGAGCTACCAAGTAGGAGAGATACATCAGGACAAGTGCCATGAAAATATAGAAAGGACAGAGGGAAGCCGCGTCATGGCGGTGGGAAAGTGACTGAAGTTAAGATGCCAGGTCATGGCCGATAACATTACAGATCCTCTTTTAGATTTTGTTGAGAATCTCGAGATATACAGCAGGAACACCAGACCGGATATAGCAGCAAAATCCCACTTCATACAAAGACAAATGGCGTTAGATGTAAATTTTTGAAGATTACATATGACAGGGAAGCAAGAAACTGATAGTTTGTTCAACAAGCAAGAAAAGAAATTATTAAAATAGACTAGTTGCATCAAGCTAGTTCAACAGTAAAATGGTGAGACCTAATTGCCAATCTAGTACGCTTAAATTCATGCAGTCGTGGCACTAAGGACGAAAGCTCATCCTGAACAATCACCATGAAAATACTTGTCACTATGGTGAGAAAGTGATTGAAGTGGTGATTCCTGGTCATGATCGATTACATTATAGACCCATGTTCCACAAACAAGAAAAGAAACTATTAGAATAGAACATACAGGTGCATCTCGCTAATTCAACAGTAAAATGGTGGGACCTAATTGCCAATCTAGTAGTACTCTTAATGAAAAGCTCGTCAGGACAACTCCAATGAAAATATTTATAGAAAAGACAGGGAAGCAATTTTCATCTTTTACTCTTGGCATCAACCGCACCCAATTTTTTTTTTTCGACATGGCTGTCGGCTGCGTTAAAACAAGGAAGGGTGGGGGCGGTACTTCACAAAAGCATCAATATCTATCACGATACATAACTGAATTTCTAAAAATAATGCATTCCTTCTGGAAAATAAATAGGATGTTTTGTAATCTGCATAAATGTATTTAACTTCATTTTTTTTTTTATTCATTCATACATATTTCTGTCATCAGTTGGAAACCAAGCAGGAAAACGCATTTCTGAACGCACCTCTTTAAAAAAAAAATTATAACGCCGACTGTTCATGGCCTTCCCCAAAATTCTTCTTTGCCTACGTAAATAATAAAAAAAAAATTTAATACTCTAGATTTAATTTCCTTCTTATTTGAAAATATTTATTTTAAAATAAATTTAACTCAATGAAATGCAGTTTATACACACACACACACACACACACACACACTTGTGTATACACACATGCATATATTTATATATATATATATATATATATATATATATATGTGTGTGTGTGTTATACTTGCCCATACTTATGTATACGCACATACATACACACACAAAGTTAAAGCTCAATTGCAGATCGGAATCCGACAGAATAGAATAAAGAACAAATTATTGTAATCCCTGACGAATACGTTTCCTATTTGTTTATCTTATATAAAGGGGAATTAGCCGTTTCCTTATAAGGGAACATTCGGTATTCATTGACCAAAGAGCGTTACTGGTTAGTCAAAATTTATAAAATCGTTCTTAAAACAGTTTTTCTGTAAATTCAACCCCAAGTCCACTATTATCGCTCTTTCTGCAATTGAAACAAGTTTCTTTCCAAACCTAAGATAGGATGGAAAGTCAACATCTTGATTATATAATTTTTCCTTCGACTTATATGTGAAATCTGTTTTTGTTGCTATTGGAAGTCTTCAAATGTCTTTTTTTTTTAATTTGAGAAACCTCATTGTTTGATTTTGTAGCGCTAGTCTATTGGGTCGGTCTGAAAGGTTGTCTTTAAATATAAAGGATTCAAAGTCATCTACAACCATTGATTTGAGTTACACATTTGTGTGATAGTTTAGACCATTCCCAACGAGTTGGATGCCGTGAAATAAGAACACTAATAGTCATAGAATTTTTCCCCAAAACAGTCGACCAGTTCAAATTCCCCACTTGTGCAGCCCCCCATATATCGTTTCGTCTCCCCACTTGTGCAGCCCCCATATATCGTTTCGTCTCCCCACTTGTGCAGCGCTCGCCCCCCAAATATCGTTTCGTCTCCCCACTTGTGCAGCGCCCCCACCCCCCATATCGTTCATACAGTCGAGCTACCAAGTAGGAGAGATCATTAGCACAAGTGCCATGAAAATATAGAAAGGACAGAGGGAAGCCGCGTCACGGCGGTGGGAAAGTGACTGAAGTTAAAATGCCAGGTCAGGGCCGATAACATTGCACATCCTCTTTTAGATTTTGTTGAGAATCTCTAGATATACAGCAGGAACACCAGACCGGATATAGCAGCAAAATACCACTGTATCGTTTCTTCTCCCCACTTGTACAACGCCCTCTCTTCCACACTCCATTTAATTTTTTCCATTCACTTAATTATTAACTCAATTATGAGTCATGCAAGCAGTCTCGTTTTTTTTCCCCCTTACCGACAGACAATGAGTTGAAAACTTATGGTCAAGTCCTTACTTTGTTCTCTATATGAATTACCCAGGATTTAAGTAAACCCCCTTGAATTCACATCTCAAGAGACTTTAAATAGACGTCGGATTAACCGATTCGATTACAGATTAACAGATAGGCAAGGTTAATCCAGAACCATAAACTTCTATTTCATTAGCTCCTCTCTATTTTTTTTCAAATCCGTTTTTATAATGTTCACCCTGTACATGGCCCAAGAGCCACTCGAGGTAGAGGTTTGCTGTGTAACAGGAACAGTTTATGTGGGGAAGATAATGATTCCCCCCCCCCTAAAAAAAATTGAACAAGCCAAGCTTATAGTGATCGGGGAAGCATCCTATTGGGAGTCAGTTCCACAAAGCAACGGTTCATGAGAAGCTTCTCAAGTGGAGCCTACATCTCGCCAGTGGAATACGAAGGGAATGAGGGAGGTGCGCTACAATGTGCGTGACATGGCGGGTCTTAACCGTGAAGGTTAGAAAAGGTGGGATTTATTAAGCTTGACACAAGGCTACGATAATTGAGAATCTGTGAGCGTTTGACTTGCTGCCTTAGTTAATGCGAGATCTCATTTTTGAAATTATAGATGCTGTTTTCGAAATTTTATGCATTTTTAGGAAGGAAAGCGAGAAGAAAGGAATACACATCAATTGCAAGAAGATAAACTGCATGGTTGTCAGCAAAAGGAAACAGCCAACATGCAAATTACAAGTTGGAGATAACAAAATCAAATGATATCTCAAAATATCTAAGTGTTTTAGCGGGATAGCGATGCCATTCAAAAGCAAGGCAAAATATTAGAAAACAGAAAAAATCTCATTAGAAAAAAAGGTGGTTCTACAGAAGGATACTGAGAATACCATGGAGTGAACATGAAAGCAACGACGATGTTCTAGAGACAATGGAAACAAAAGGGACATTTGTAATTAACATCAGAAGTCAGTTGAAATTTCTAGGGGACATAATGAGGAAAGAGGATCTGGAAAATTTTATACTCAAAAGGCTGATTGAGGGTCAGACGAAAACAATGCATAGCCTACCCTAGCGAGCTTGAGTAAATGGATGGCGGAACAAGGTTTAGGTGAGATAGTAAAAAGACAAAAATGCAGCCTTTATGCAAATCCGGCATTGACTATATTCCAATCCTGTAATTCAGAAGTTAGGAAAAAATATTGAACGATTGACGCCTCAGATGGCATTCACGTTGATTTTTTTTTCTTTGTAAATTTACAAAAACGATTTGAAATAAAGAAGTTTACAATGTCGTTTTCAATGCCCTCTCATGAATCGTCCAGCTTGGTCAGTTGTGTTTGATTGGTTTAGAACTGACACTCATGTACACACCTTCAAGTAAATTGTTGGTCTTATCGTCATTGTCCCTTTTATTGCCTTTGAAAAATGAGTGAAGTGGGGATGTAAAATATTGTTTATAACGGACGGGAGAGAGAATCTTATAGAGAACATAACGGATTAGGTAGGGGTCATCCGGACAAAATCGATGGGGGGTCAAAGTTGAAAGGAAATAAGAAAATGTCAGAAGGAGAAGAAGAAAAATTGAACGAAGTGAAAAGTGTAGGTCGAGGCGAGAAAGTTGAATGAAAATTGATTCATCAAAGAATAAAGAGAAAGGTGGGGAAAAACTAACACCAACGAACTGAACATACAGGGTGTGTGTCTCTCTCGCTCTCTTTGTGTGCGTATGTGTGTGTGTGTCTCTCTCTCGCTCTCTTTGTGTGCGTATGTGTGTGTGTCTCTCTTCGCTCTCTTTGTGTGCGTATGTGTGTGTGTCTCTCTCTCTCTCTTTGTGTGCATGTGTTGTGTGCTCTTTGTGTATGTGTGTGTGTGTCTCTCTCTCTCGCTCTTTGTGTGCGTATGTGTGTGTGTGTCTCTCTCTCTCTCTTTGTGTGCGTATGTGTGTGTGTGTCTCTCTCTCTCTCTCTCTTTGTGTGCATGTGTGTGTGTGTGTCTCTCTCTCGCTCTCTTTGTGTGCGTATGTGTGTGTGTGTCTCTCTCTCGCTCGTATGTGTGTGTGTGTCTCTCTCTCGCTCTCTTTGTGTGCGTATGTGTGTGTGTCTCTCTCTCTCTCGCTCTCTTTGTGTGCGTATGTGTGTGTGTGTCTCTCTCTCGCTCTCTTTGTGTGCGTATGTGTGTGTGTGTCTCTCTCTCGCTCTCTTTGTGTGCGTATGTGTGTGTGTGTCTCTCTCTCTCGCTCTGTGTGTGTGTCTCTCTCTCGCTCTCTTTGTCTGTGTGTGTGTGTCTCTCTCTCTCGCTCTCTTTGTGTGCGTATGTGTGTGTGTGTGTCTCTCTCGCTCTCTTTGTGTGCGTATGTGTGTGTGTGTCTCTCTCTCTCTTTCTCGTATGTGTTGTGTGTGCGTATGTGTGTGTGTGTCTCTCTCTCGCTCTCTTTGTGTGCATGCTCTCTTTGTGTGTGTGTGTGTCTCTCTCTCGCTCTCTTTGTGTGCGTATGTGTGTGTGTGTCTCTCTCTCTCTCTCTCTTTGTGTGCTTGTGTATGTGTGTGTGTGTCTCTCTCTCTCTCTCTTTGTGTGCGTATGTGTGTGTGTCTCTCTCTCTCTCTGTGTGTCTCTCTCTGCTCTCTTTGTGCGTATGTGTGTGTGTCTCTCTCTCGCTCTCTTTGTGTGCGTATGTGTGTGTGTCTCTCTCGCTCTCTTTGTGTGTGTATGTGTGTGTGTCTCTCTCTCGCTCTCTTTGTGTGCGTATGTGTGTGTGTGTCTCTCTCTCGCTCTCTTTTGTGTGTGTGTGTGTGTGTGTCTTTGTGTCTCTCTCGCTCTCTTTGTGTGTGTGTGTGTGTGTGTCTCTCTCTCGCTCTCTTTGTGTGCGTATGTGTGTGTGTGTCTCTCTCGCTCTCTTTGTGTGCGTATGTGTGTGTGTGTCTCTCTCTCGCTCTCTTTGTGTGCGTATGTGTGTGTGTCTCTCTCTCTCTCTCGCTCTCTTTGTGTGTCTCTCTCCGCTCTCTGTGTGTGTGTGTGTGTCTCTCTCTCTCGCTCTCTTTGTGCGTATGTGTGTGTGTGTCTCTCTCGCTCTCTTTTGTGCGTATGTGTGTGTGTGTCTCTCTCTCTGCTCTCTTTGTGTGTGTGTGTGTCTCTCTGTCTTTGTGTGTGTGTGTGTCTCTCTCTCGCTCTCTTTGTGTGCGTATGTGTGTGTGTGTCTCTCTCTCGCTCTCTTTGTGTGCGTATGTGTGTGTGTGTCTCTCTCTCGCTCTCTTTGTGTGCGTGTGTGTGTGTGTCTCTCTCTCGCTCTCTTTGTGTGTATGTGTGTGTGTGTCTCTCTCGCTCTCTTTGTGCGTGTGTGTGTGTGTCTCTCTCTCGCTCTCTTTGTGTGCGTATGTGTGTGTGTGTCTCTCTCTCTCTCGCTCTCTTTGTGTGTATGTGTGTGTGTGTCTCTCTCTCTCTCTCTCGCTCTTTTGTGCGTATGTGTGTGTGTGTCTCTCTCTCGCTCTCTTTGTGTGCGTATGTGTGTGTGTCTCTCTCTCGCTCTCTCTCTCTCTCTCTCTCGCTCTCTTTGTGTGCGTGTGTGTGTGTGTCTCTCTCTCTCTCTCGCTCTGTGTTGTGTGCGCTCTTTGTGTGTGTGTGTGTGTGTGTCTCTCTCTCGCTCTCTTTGTGTGCGTATGTGTGTGTGTCTCTCTCTCTCTTTGTGTGCTGTGTGTGTGTCTCTCTCTCGCTCTCTTTTGTGTGTGTGTGTGTGTGTCTCTCTCGCTCTCTTTTTGTGTGTGTGTGTGTCTCTCTCTCTCGCTCTCTTTGTGTGCGTATGTGTCTCTCTCGCTCTCTTTGTGTGCGTATGTGTCTCTCTCGCTCTCTTTGTGTGCGTATGTGTGTGTGTCTCTCTCGCTCTCTTTGTGTGCGTATGTGTGTGTGTCTCTCTCGCTCTCTTTGTGTGTGTGTGTGTGTGTCTCTCGCTCTGTTTGTGTATGCTCTTGTGTGTGTGTGTCTCTCTCGCTCTCTGTTTGTGTATCGCTCTCTTTTGTGTGTGTCTCTCTCTCTCGCTCTGTTTGTGTATGCGTGTGTGTGTGTCTCTCTCTCGCTCTGTTTGTGTATGCGTGTGTGTGTGTCTCTCTCTCGCTCTGTTTGTGTATGTGTGTGTGTGTCTCTCTCGCTCTGTTTGTATATGTGTGTGTGTCTCTCTCTCTGTTTGTGCTCTGTTTGTGTATTGTGTGTGTCTCTCTCTCTGTTTGTGTATGTGTGTGTCTCTCTCGCTCTGTTTGTATATGCGCGTGTGTGTGTCTCTCTCGCTCTGTTTGTGTATGCGCGTGTGTGTGTCTCTCTCGCTCTGTTTGTATATGCGCGCGTGTGTGTCTCTCTCGCTCTGTTTGTGTATGCGCGTGTGTGTCTCTCTCGCTCTGTTTGTGTATGCGCGCGTGTGTGTCTCTCTCGCTCTGTTTGTGTATGCGTGTGTGTCTCGTGCTCTTTTTGTGCGACTCTCACTATCTTTGCTGTGTATGTGTGTATTTTACTCTCTTTGTTCATACGTGTATGTGTGTCTCTGTCTTTGTGTGCGAAAGCATTATTTAGGAGAGTAGAAAAAGATTATCTCAAATCTCTTAACCCGAATGTTTTTTTTTTTTTTTTTTTTTTTTTTGAATGGCACAAACAAAAAAAGGACAAAACCCTTACCCAGGTTTGAAATGTGAAAGAAATTTACATTTATTAAATGTCATAAAAATATTACGGAATACCAAATTAGAAACTTGCACAAATTTTCCTTTTTTGTTCCACACAATTAGACAAGAGATCAAATTCTAAATACAACTTTAAGGACTCATAAAATCATTTACAATTGTTAAAAACAAAACTCTTCACTTAATTGTATGTCTCTCTAAATTTATAGAAACGTCTTTCTGCTTTCTTTTTGATTTTTGCTTCTTCCCGTTCTTTTTCATTTCATTTTCTTTCAGCTTCTTTCTGTTCGTCGTCGGCGTCTCCTTGTGAATGCCGAAACCCGTCGAAGTTCAGCTCCCACTGACTTTCTCATGTAAAAAGCCAAATCCGTTCTGGTCGTCAGTCAAATCAGGCTTTTAAATAGCCATATATCGACTCAAATTTGAATCAGAAATTTAATATTTTGGGAGGGGTCGTAACATACTTCCTCAATTTGTCAAAAATCACAGATATCTATTTTTAAACCACACCTGTCTGCACTCTTTATTTAGATGGGTTTTGAGTCCATAGGACTTGAGCCTATATTTTTAATTTTTAAAAAACAGATTTTAGTCATGTATCCTTTTTATAAACCGTTAGGCTTCATTTTAAATGATATTTTTTCAGCAATTATACAAAGTCTTACACATCAAATTTTTTTCAAGCCATTTTTTTTACTAATTTTCTGGCTTCATTATAGCAGTTCTCAAAACAAAACAATAAAAGACGCTTAAGTAACTACTATTAATGTTTTTTTAAAAACTCCTCCCTAAAAGAAAGGCGTCCTGGGTATGACGATAAACTACATCCGCGTCTTGGGTATGACGATAAACTACGTCCAACAGCAAGGCCTCTGATAATATTTTTTGGAAAAATAATGTTGCCAGCTATAGGTTTTTGGGAAAATAATGTTACAAGCTATAGGTTTTTGGAAAATATAATGTTGCCTGCTATAGGTTTTTGGAAAAATAGTATTACCAGCTATAGGTTTTTGGAAAAATAGTATTACCAGCTATAGGTTTTTCGCTAAATAATATTACCAGCTATACATTTTTGAAAAAATAATATTAACAGCTATACATTTCTGAGAAAAAATATTAACAGAAATAGATTTTTGACAAAGCAAAAATATTACCAGTGAAAAAAAGTTGTCCGCATTAAATGACCCATTGCGGTTGATATGCCATAAAACAAACCAAACCAAAAAGAAAGGGCAATAAACAAAGTCTATTGTATTTTTTATTTTATTTATCTTTTAATTATTTTAATATAATTTTACCTTTATTTATTAAAAGTTTTTATAGTGGGTGTGCATGGTTATTTTTCTTTTTGTGTGCGTCTGTCTTCATAGCTTTTGTAATGAAAAGAAACGAAAAAAATTCGAAATATTCTGAACTCTGTCAAAACACGATTCGACTTGATTTCAACACTTAGCGTCTTTGCCCAAATATTTTCATCCTTCAATGAGTAAAGATAAAAATAAATAAAAAAAATCTCTCGATTGTTCTCATTTCACAAACATTGTCAAATCTGAGCGTTGTTAATCTATTTCTGTTATTGTCATTTTAGCTGAAATTGCCACAGAGATTAAAACCCACGAACTCCTCCTCCTCCCATATCTTCATTGTAAGAGATACTTTCCTAACTCTCATTACACCCAGATAAAATATACACGTTCTCTATTTATACGAAAGATCATTATAAAACTTCGACCAACTGCGTTTTTTTTTCGGGGGTGGGGCGGCCCGTAGTGGCGCAACTATCTGATGTCCACGGTATCACACAGTGAAACACAAGATTGATCATGTAAACCGCTCCATATACATGTGGTATACACATTCTGATACTTACCAGTCACAGGGATCCGTTCCTGCGTTGGTAGTATCACATCTAAGACTAGCTCTGACCAGCTAAGACCAGCTATGACTAGCTAAGACCAGCGGCCGGAGTGGGGACACTCGGATCCCCACGTTAAAAACCGACCTTATGTTACAATCTGACTCAGTTGTCAAGTAAATACAGTGTGTGAAACACAAGATTTTGTCTAGAGAAAGCTGGAGAATGAACAAACGAAAAAAAATCTATCTTAAAATTTAGACACTGAAAGATTTTATTTTCTGAAAAATGTTCAAAACTCTTTCGTGTACAAACAGCAAACACCAGTCTTTGTTCGGAATTCCCAAAAGAATAATTCGTACATGTTGATTTTTTTTTTTTTAGTTCTGCATTATGTTGTTGGGGAATGAAAACGTTTGTTTTCATCTCTATAACGGCTATTGAGATGAAGATGGAGTTTTAGAATCGCCATTGCGATCAGAAATCGTTTTCCCAGTTACTATTAAACACTCCAAATTATGAATGTCATTTTTTTTAATTTTACAAACGTTAATAGCGGTCCGTGTTTGCTATGTAAATTGATCAAAATATGCTCATACCTCATGATTTCTTAAAATTTTTTAAATATTTTTAACTAATCTCATAACTTGTAGCGCTTAATCGATAATAATATATGAAAAAGAAAATGAAATGTAAATGATAAAATGCTATTTCGCACTTTGAAAATAGGGAAGGAGATTCTTTTCTTTTCAGTAGGTTTTTTTTTTCATCTACATTACATTTTCGCTAGCGAGGAACAAGAGCCTGAAAGTTGTTTTAAACGTATCTGAAACTCATTAGTCGCAGCCTAACTGTGCTCATGTCCATTATTCGGTCTCGGAAATAGTTTCCACTTTTTTTTTTTTTGGGGGGGCAAGGAAGAAATTAATGACGCATCTGCTTCGCACACATTTTAATGTCATTTGCCATTATGCCCAGAATAAAACAACAAAAATGGTCATGGGTTATATACGGTTAACTCTAGAACACTAACCATGGGTATATAGTACCCTACGCAAATTTTCCTATTTTTAATTACAATTTTCAGTACCTGATTTTCTTACCTAAATGTTTTTCAGTTCCTATTAATGTTACCTCAAAGTACAAAGTTTA